CTCTCGAGTTGCTCAAGACTTATTTGCTCTACGACCCGTATGAAAATTTACAAGTGGGAGCATTAATATTCTCCAGCAGTGAAGTAGGTGGCAAACTAGTTAACCGCACAAGGCCTATTCCCCGAGCAATTTGGTCGTCTACTTTAGAACAGGTTGATCGATACGAAATTGTAACGACCCTATCGTGTCGTATTCATCAAGGAATTACTGTACCTCCAATAATTACTCCATAAGAACCATGTTAAATATAATATAGAAAACTAGCTATTTTAACTTCGATTCGGAAACAATTTGGGCGAAATAAAAAGGAAAACCAATTTTCTTCCCCCGATCCAGAGGCAGGTATTTCCCATCCCTCGATTCTAACATCTGAAAAATCACCGACCAACATTCGATATTCTATTCAATTCCAGCGAAATACCCCGCGTGCTACCTTCTCGATTCCGATGCGCACCGCAGGATCGTTCGATCGTGGTCGACGGAACGTTCTCATCCGGAAGGAAACGAAATTGGAAGGAATCGACGCGGTTTTATTTAGCCTTCCGGTATATGCCCCGCCACACAGTGAGCCAAATGACGATTCTAACTGGAGAAAATCATAAGTCAGTAATAAGTAAACTAATGAAGATACGAAAAAATTATTTCTACAAAAGTTTTTTGGTAGGGGAGACCGGAGCAGGTTGTAACACAGGGTAAGTTGTAATGTAATTAAAATTATCTAAACGACAAATTTGGCAACGTAGCAGGATGCCAGAGCGGTTTGAAAATATTGACATCGTCGGTTTAATTGCAACAATCGATCATCAAGTGTCTGTTTTGTAGCTACAGGTTAGATTTTTTTATTAATTGGAGCACGTATATTCTCGATCGAATATCCGTTGACTTCGAGCCCGACCAACGACTGTCACTTTTCATCCCCGACTCCTTACATCAGACGTTCAGCGAAAGGTTAAACGATTCGAACGAACTCGCTGAAATTGTAGACCGAGTTTCACCAATTTCTAAAAGTTTTGCTGCAACAATTCCTGTGTCCAGTGCACGATCAGAAGTGTTTCGAGTTCAAATATTTCTAAAACACTAATGTCATAAAGTACAGATATAAAATGTTTGATGCATGAAATATTCAGCGCCAATCGAAATTGTTGCTGACGGTCGTTAATCAGTATGAATCAGCAAAAGAACCGAGGATTCGAAGTTCATTCTGAGCATAAATACTAATCACGTTCGGATAAAGATTTTCCTCGATGTTCAACACCGTGTAATGTCCACATTTTTACTATCATTACATCATCGAGATAATGTCGTAAAGACATATATAAGCTCTTGGCTGTTAAGAACATAAATATTTACGCGATTAATTGTATACTTATCGCTTTGAATCGACATTATATTCCCAACTATATATGTATAGCGCTTTGTAAATCTTACTAATTATAAATTGAACATTTTTCAACATGTTACCTTAAATAATTAATTAACGCGTGACCGGTGGATCGTCAAGTGTTTTTGGAAAAAGAAATACAAAAATAGTAACAAACGACAAAGTGTCTAACAAAAAAAAAAAATAAATAACCCAGAAGGAACAAAAATATAAATGTGGAACAAAGAGAGATAAAAACAATGATGAAACAATTCGATGATCCACACCCAATCATGGATGGCAAAAAAGATTGAAGGCAGCGTGTTCCACCAATGGATCACCACATCATTTCCTCATTTTTCTATGAAAGAAAACCGCGAACATTTAACAAGTGTCCAAATTAAAAACTGAAAAAATAAATCAGATTTAACCCCCTACAGCATCGAAATCAATTCCACGAATCCCGCTGCGCCGTCCCGAACGTGTCAAAAGAACTTTCGATAGAGAACGAATTGATTTACATTCGACCGATTTTATACACTGGACACCGGTGGACTTCGATTTACATAATCCAGCCGCAATTCACGGATAAGCCGTTCGTGAATTCACGCGTACGCGAGAATGGGGGGGAGGGGCTAGGGGCGATTCGATCGTTAGGCCGTGAAAAGAAGAAGAGAGAAAGCGTCGTCTGATCGAGTTCTGTCCAGCAGCAACAGCAGCCCAACGAGAGCCAATTGTACCGGAAACGAGCATTACGTCCCCGGGCGCATTATCATTTTCAAACGTAACACGTTTGCCGGTCCGCGTGCGAAAGAATTATTAATTTTCCCTCGTAACGACGGGTCGTGCGCCCCGACTTACGAACCGGAAGTAACGGCATCCGCGCGTAAAAACGAGTCGCGCCGTTCAAATAGTAAACAGTCCGTCGTCCCGCCGACTGTACATACTAGCGATGGATGATACAATATCGATATTTCGAATACCGATACTTTTAGATTCAAATGTCGATATTTCGAATACCGATACTTTTCGATTCAAATATCGATATTTCGGATATCGATACCTTTAAATTCGAATATCGATACCTTTCGATATTATGTATTCATATTTAATGTGACGATATATTCCAGTATCGACACTTAACCCATAAATACCGAAATTTAGTTACCGATGATATCGATACTTCATTCCCGATATACATGTGTATCCATACTCTGGGTATCAATACGTATCGATACAATTCGAATTATTGCCATCACTAGTACACACCACACCGAGGTATTCGTTGGTAATCCGAATATGTAAAAATATAATGTGCTAAAAATCACGCTGAATTATATTTTCGACTGGATAGTATGGACCAAAGCGGATTGGATAACATTTACGAAAGTGTTTTGTAAAAGCGGTTATGCTCTATCCGTTGCCTCGATGAACACGATTTGGAACGGCGGGAGAGGGGGAGGGTGGCGGAGAACACAATAACCGCCAGAAATCGCGGCCGGCGCCGATACAGATATCCTGGCGGGATATAAACATAGCACCGTGAATCACGGATTCGACGCGTCCCTCTGATTTATTTTCGGCCCGAGTTCCTTCATGTTATCCATCCCCACGCACCCCCTGTGCAACAGATTCGCGACGAATGGACCGTGAAGACGGAGAAATTGACTCGAAACGATGGAGTTTTAAGCCGTATTTGGTAGCTACGCTTGTTTTTGAATGGAGACGGATGACCGTTGGGTCGCTTGATACTGGAGGTCGAATCGTTTCTCGGGCATGTTCGCTATTCGGATATCCGAACAGTATGTATTGCGATAATACTCGAATTATTCGTAATGTTTCAGTACCTATAAAGCAATGTATTTTTGAACTACTAGAATGTTAACGGTGGTTGTAATCGGTGACGATGATATACGGACTTCTGAATTTAATCCACGAGCAACGATCATAAAGATCTAGATACGGACCGCTGAGGTTAATACATGGCGTTCAAGGGTTAAATGATATTTTCCTATCCGGCTGTACAGGCTGCCCAAAACTACGTGGACACTGACCGAGGTGATTATCCTCGGGAAAATGAATTAAAAAATGTAGTACAATATCCCATATAAGAATTGTTTGAGAAATGATAGATGTTGAATTAGTTTTTCCAAATAAACGAGTAAACGAGCTCACCTTACATTTTTATTTGAAACTATTAATAAATATAAGTCTTGTCTATTTACTTTAATGGACTATTTCGACCACTAGAGAGGACACCTGTTTTTCGACTACTTTGGATCACATTCCACGTACGATTTATAACTTATAGTCTACGTACCTAGTAGAGTAACAATCTAATGAATTATTTTTCGTTCCTTAAGAGAAAAATGCAGACAACTTGAAACACGATGAGACACACGTTCGTTTTTGATACTTTGCCCGACCAATATTAGTATTTCTATCTTATGTGCATACTGGATTACTGTTATTACGCGTGGTAAATAAATAAACAGAATGAGACGGCGTCGAGAAACGGCGTCAAAACCATACACAGAAAATACCGTTTTCTCCTCGATTTATATAACACGCTTATTTTTCTCGTCGCGATATCATAGTTAAAAATGGAGAATTTATGTGTTACGGGTTCGCGAAACACACGTGCCACAGATTACGTTCATCGAGCCGGAGGATTTTCTTCGATATCGATACTAAGATCTAACCTATCGCAGTATTCCGTGGAAGATGATTAGATGACTCACGGATAATTATTCCACCACAATATAACGATTATAATGTCTTTTACATCAAACAAATTGTTCGGCACCACAAAATCTATATAATTGAACCGTCTATACCGTTTCCCCAGTCAGGGACAATGTAAACATTGCAACACAACAATCCACAATTCGGGAACTGTATCGTCGTGTAATTAGCTTGTACATATATCGAAATATTGATCCCTATTATATTCAATTTATCGTTTTCTATACACGATTACAGTACACCGAGCAATGTAATGTTACAACTAAACGTCGGATGTTTGCGTCAATATAGATTTATATTTACTAAATCAGTGACCCTAATCAAACAGAAATATCTCTGGCCCATTAACTTCGAGCAGGGTACAAATAAAGTAAACACACAATCGTGTACGTCACAAGTACATAAAATCTGTAATCTGGTTACGACGAAACGTGAAGTAACTGTCATAGTAATACGTTACGAAATCATTGTAATCGTTATTGCACCGTTATTACAGATTGCGTGTTCTGTTGGAGGTTAGGTTGTGCCCGTACAGAAACCTGGAATCCAACGATTGTATCGCTTATGCACACCGTTTACTTGGGAAAATTCTTCGTAGAAACTTTAGGACAGAGTCGTGATCGACGCGATGCAAGACGGAGTCATTCATCGATCAATAACGGGACACTGGGTACGATAAACGTGGAAATCACGATACGATTGTCGACGAGGAGGCGTATTGTGGTCGGTCAGCGCGTCTCGTTTCGTTTTTACGAAGCTCGGGAGAATCGATCACGGGGCCGTCCTAACCTCAAAAGGCGCGCCGGCGGGCGGCACGCCTTGAACCATCGAGAACGGTACCACACACACTTATTTGGAAGGCCGAGAGCGCAGTATGTCAAAGGACTACACCCACCTGCGTTTACGCGTCGTTCCCTCTTCTTCTGTTCCCTTCACCGACTGTCTTCTTCTTTTTCTTTGTCTGACGGGCGTCTCGCAACACCGAGGTTACCGGCTTCTTCACCCCCCGAACTCACGGAAAATCTCTCCCGTCCCAGGGTCCCGTTTTATTTTCCTCTTGTCACCTGACCGACCGTGGTACATACAAAAGGGAACACGCCGTGGTCGTTCGTCTACGTGAACGCGGAAGATAAGGCCGCCGTTGTGTCGTCCTGGTTCCTCCTTCTCGTGTTACGGTGTGTATTCCCGGCGACGATGATCGCGCGTGTCTCGTTCGTTCGCCGTGTATCGCGAAACTGACGAAAACGACGGTTCGACTCGCTCTCGCCGCCGCTGTTAGAAGCGAGTGAACGCGAGTAAGAATGATGACTGGTGCTCGTCGCCAGTTTTCTTCATCGGCGACACGCGTCTTCTTCCTCCTCCTCCTCCTTCTCTCCGTGGTCGTCGCGGGCGCGTAGTATTACACAGACACGACGGACGGGGAAGGCGAAGAGAAAAAGGGGAGTACAGAGGGGTATAGAAACGGACGACGGAAGGAGGAATGATAAAGGAGCGGACAGCGAGGGAAAAAGAGGAAGGAGAATCCAGCTTAGTCGTCGTTGTCGTCGTCCTCGTAGGTTGGCCGAATATCTCTCTACCCCGTGGGGGACAGTTTCCTGTGCACGCGGTCGCGCTCGACTGACGGTTTCTTTTTGTACGGGCCCGTAACGTGCGGTGGTCCGCCGCCGCCACCGCCACCGCCGTCGCGTTCAAACGTTTACCTGACCGCCCCGCGCGCGTCCGTCCACCTTGCTCGCTACTCGCCCGTCGTCACCCTACTCCTCGTCGCCACGATGCTTCATTCTACCGCTACTATACACACACACACACACACATACACACATACACAGAGCACACACTCTCTCCCTCCTTTTTCCTTCCTTCCGTCCTCTTTTTCTTTTCTCTTCCTCCCGTTTTCGGTCTCTCCCACTTTCGACCACCACCACCGAGATGGATTTGTTCGTAACCTGTCACGCTTCTACGGGCGCTCGCATATACACATGGATCTCCCACCTAGCGGCTCTTTATCCGATCTCCATACGATTGATCCTCTTCTCTGTCCCTGCCCTGTGTTGTTCTCGTCTGTCGCCTATATTGCCACTCCTAGCTCCGTAAGTGTGTGTGTGTGTGTGTGTGTGTATGTGTGATTGACGGGGAAACCGAGTGGATTTTTCTTTCGAAAGGGGAACGAAAACGAAACGTACCGCGAACGAAGAGACGAGGACGACCACGACGACGAGAGGCACGACGCGACAAAGACGATGGAAACCGAGGGGGGCTCGCCGCCGCGCCGCCGTGACGACGACCAAAACCACCATCGACGATTTGCCATCTCGCGGGCGTTACTGTAAATAGTGTCGTATGGTTCTCAAATCGCGGATCCCATGTTGTACTAGGACATAAACTGATCCGTTATTTTGATTTAAATATGCTACTGACACACAATTCAAGTTCGAAACGTTTACCCACTATTTTCATATTTTTAACAATGTCACAAGGTGTTGGAGAAGAAAGACGAATATATGTATTATTAAAACAGCACATGTGTTTGAGTTTCTTGAAAATAAATATTAAATTTGCGATAAAAGTAAGGGAAATATTTAATCGAGAAACATGTATACATGTTTTACATGACAGAAACATGTATTACATGTAACATGTATACAAGTTTATTTATGAAAAAAAGTGTATTGTATTTCGTAACACTTGAAACCAAGGTACATAAAAAATTGTTAAACCACCAATGAGGGTAATCGGTATTCCGTTTTACACGGGAAATAATGCTAAAGTTGATAGTTACGTTTACAAAGTTTATGTATACTGCTGACGTCTGATTGACTTTAACTACTCTTAAATGTGTATCGTAAACTTCATAATGCATAAGTAATTGTTTTTCGTGATTAAATACCTACAATTAATCCATATAATTAAATAATATTAACACGATATTATTTTAAGGTTCATTGAAAAACTAAATGCGTCGCGCACTAACTGTGTATATATTTTTTTTTTCTCCAAAATTTCGAAGAGCATGAAAAAGCAGGTTATTTGCAAATGGACCCAGTGTCACTACCGGGAATACATTTACATCTGATTTTCGTGTTTTGACATCTCAGATCATAACCGTGGAGCGAAAAGAATTGCCAAACCAATGATGTTTGTACTGACGATAACCTCACCTGACCCAAGAAAGGACCGGAGCCTAGTTTAAAGTTTGCAAATGTTAGACGCAAATTTATTGTTGTAAAGTTTATCATTAATTTTTATCTGCCTGCTTGTTTCATTGTTTCAATAATTACGTCATTGATACACGCGGCGTTCCCTCTTTTATGTTTACAGACGTTTATACTTTCCACGAACGAAAGCAAAATAATGACGAGATACTGCGATTTAAGTTTCGTAACCGCTTCTTATTCCCGAGAAAGGATTAGGTGGCAGTCACTATTAACCTGAGTACACTGTTCAATATCGTCGTTCAATATTCTTCTCTGGAATGATATAAATGATTTCTATGTATTTATTCCTTTTCGCTTCTAAATATTTGTTTTCGATCAAAGCTTCTGGAGTGAATGTAAAAATAACTATTTCATGGGGTTAGATTTGCACGTGTAATCTCGAGCTTATTCTTTGCGAATCAATATTTATTAAAACGTATTACGATCGGTCGATTCATCGATATTGAACTCACAAGGTCGGGAAAGTGGCCAAGTGTCGGTTGCAAGCCATATTTGTGGAGATTAACCTACTTGAAGTCCATCTGCAAATGGTTAGTATCCCTTTGTTGTAAGACGTTGCATCACGTCTTCCTCGAACCGAACTTTAACCGTAACTTTATGGTATTCTTACAGTTACACAAACTTTGTCCTTACTCGTATAACGGAACACCAATCAGGAACCCTTCAATGGAAATTTAATTTCAGGCACCCCTCAAAAAGTACACTCAAAAGTTAATATCGATATTTTTGATTTCAAATAATTTCGAAATAACGTTTTAAGGGTCTAGACGTTAAAGGGTTAAAAACATCAAGCTACAATCCATATTCATTCTTTTAATTTTGTTTATCTATACATGTTACAATTGAACGTTCTGGGTATCCTTTTCCGAGCATCATGTACCAGTGTTCTGATACGACACGCTGATGACAACTTTTTTTTATCGAACAAGGGGAAACACGACGCAAAATAATTCGCATCAACGTGTTCCTCGCGTTACCATCCGGCCCCACCTCGACGTCTTGTTATCTTTTCGCATGATTTACCACGTTTCCCGTTGGCATCGCTGCACCGCGGTCATTTCCCGCCTCTTGGGCGTTCACGTTGCTGAATTTAAGACTGTTCCACGGTTTCGAAGTTCCGCGGTTGGGCTCGGATTACAACCTCATTTCTCCCCGGACTGTTTTCACGCGAGAGGGGGGGGGGGTGTCGGCTTGCGAAGAATAAACTTAACGAGGGAACGAGCCAATTGCTCGCCCCGTTAAAAATCACCCGACACGCACGACCTCGAAACAATGCGGTTATTATTCCGTGCGACGAGAAGCGAAAGAATCGATGATGCCTTTAACCCTTTAACGGCGTTTGACGAGTATACTCGTCATTGGATCCCAGTTTTTTTCCGTAAAACTTTACCAGCATATTCTACAAGTAACAATCAGAAACAAATGTATATACAATAAAAATCTAAGCTCTTGAATGCTTTCTTAAAAAGTTAGAATAAAAACACGAAATGCTAACGAACTGTGACTGTCAGTTCACATTATAATTCCTTCGCTAAGTGTTATTCGTTATTATGAATGCAAAACTGGCGTCTACGCATTCTATTGCATTAATAATTTCTTATTAAATTTCCATAATTGCAGCAATCACATCACGGAATACTTTGCGTGAACCTCAGGCGCGTTTTAATTTGTGCTTTGATAAACATTTTCCTTCACAAATGCCCTCGAGTAAAAAACCATTGACGTGATATGTTTAATATTTATATGTTAAATGTGTTCCTCTACCTATCCATCGTTGAGGGTAAGGGGAACTGTGAAAAAGTGTATCAAAAACAAATGAATACGCATCTGGTGTTAGTGCAAAGATATTCTGACAAGGGAAGGCACGGAAGTGTCCCCCTCCGATTTTGATGAAACTTCGTACGTCTGTTAAGCAGTCAAAAATAAGGAATACGTATTTTTTTTTATCGGTTGAGACGCGACTTTAAGGGGTGAAACTACCCCTCGAAGTTTCGACCCGAAAGTACTATCTCGAAAATCAGAGGAGGTACATGAAAACTTCTAATGGACGAGGTTTGTGGTTTTTCATGTAGAATAATATGGTGCTAACAAATTATCCAAAATATAATTTGTTAATAACAAAAAAATTTCGGATCGAAACTTCGAGGGATGGTTACACCTCTTAAAGTTGCGTCTCAGCCGATAAAAAAAAATACGTATCCCTTATTTTTGACTGCTTAACAGACACGAAGTTTCATCAAAATCGGAGGGGGACACTTCCGTGCCTTCCCTTGTCAGACGTATTGACGACAATTAAGGAAAATTAACAAAAAAATTAGTAATGGTCTTGCATTTATAATAACAGCCAACACTTTAAAATGGAATTATAACGTGAACTGACAATCTAATCCTACATGTGGTACCAAACAAAAAAGCACAGTCCGTAATTATTTCGTATTTTTATTGCAACTTGTTAACTCTCTGTGACACCAATTATTTTTACTGCTTATGTCATCCTTCTGGGTCTTCTATATTGAAGCCTATCTTTTTTATTTTGTAGGATTGCAAAAAATCTAAAAAAATTCAAGGATAGTTCCTAGGATCTCTACTACACGATCCAAAAGCGTTTAAAGTTGAATATTAAAAGGTTTTTTAATAACAATGCTTTCATTTCGAAGCTGTTTGAGGATGAAATTTTGCTTGTGCCAGAAAAGACTGAGGGGGGCACGGAGGGTTAATTTTTGTTATAGGATATGCTGGCAAATTTTTGCGGGAAAAAACACCGAAACCTTATATGTATATCCTTGGAACCCTGACGATGTCATCTGTGACGTCGATGAAACATCGACAACTTTCCTCAAATGGGCACGATCCGTGAGAACTTGCGTCTTTCAAAACTTTGGTTTTGAAAACCACTCTAAAATTTTCCATTCTTATGTGTTATAATTAAAATAGAAGCGAACTAAGTATGCCCTGTCTGAAATCGTGTTAAAAAATAATGTTTCTCCAGAGAAAGAATAGATTATATTCCCTAGAAGAAAATTATTCTTTTTTCTTGTAACCGCAGGACGTAAGAATTGAAAATTTTAAGGCGGTTTTACAATTATGCCATGCAAGTGTATAACACTACATCTTTCGAACCACTTTATTGTTAATGATAGGGAAAAAAGGGAACTCCGTGTTTTATGTTGTATATTTTACACTAAACATTGAATATTCATCGCACCAATTTACCACTTCGCGTCGGCTCAAACGTAAAGAATAATATTTATATTTGTTTGGCAAGGCCGTTAGTATGCAAGGTTGAGAATGACAGTGAACAAGCAAAGATGACGCGCGAGTTGTAACGTGCTACGCAGAAAGCCGCGTAGCAAAGCGAAAATATGTCATACAGATACAAGTCTGGATTTCGTGCTAGTCTGAAATAAAAATAGTTGAATAGATTGAGGTTGACTATTCATGTGTATGTAACCCAACAGGTTGCCATGATTAATATGATCTTCTTTCAATGTAGGTTCCTTCTATACCGATGAAATCATCATCCTGTCCATATCATTATAAGATAAGAAGCCCAAATTTCGCCCTCCCCCTAAAGTTTTTTTATTCATATTCGAAAATTACTCTACATTATAGTCTAACAAAAATTGTACAGTCACTTTGAACCCTCAATTACGAAACCCCTTTATCACTTTTTCATAAAAGTTCATACAAACAAAATCAAAAATGGAAATGCAAAACGATCCATAATTCACTATTCACCAAAAGTCTTCCAAATTTCTTCCTCCCCAAGTTTTGAGTGCTTAAATAGCTTTCAGTGGGTTGAAATAAATAATTATTAATTGTTGGATAAAATATTGAAATAAATACGATTGAATTGAATTTAATCTCTTCATCGTGAATGTTACGACAGCACAGAATCCAGAAGGCAATGATCCTCAAGGACGAAACGGGAGGTTGTAGGCTTCGAGGGAAATTAACGCGTGGTCTGCCCCCGATCGAGTTCAAGAAAGAGCAAGCCGGCAAGTGGTCCGGAATGAGAGTAATTCCGGCTACCAAGGAAACGAACAGAAAGTATGTATAATGCCTGTGTAACAG